CCCTGGCAGCCGGCTGAACACAGAGAGAGATGGCCTCCAGAATTACGAGGCTCTGTTAGGTCTCACTAACTTCTCAGGAAGAAGCGATAAACTTAGGTGAGTTTAACTGCTTTCTAACCTTCTTTCTTCCCCAGCAGTGAATGTGAATTTCAGTTCAACGCTTTTCTTGTAGGATTCTGAAGACTGGTCAGTTTGAGCTACCTTTGGCCAGAGCTACAAATGTCTCAGAACTAAAAGATTAATAAAATAGCCAGGAAGGGGAGATCGGCACGTTTTCCTCTAGAAAGCAGAAAGACATGAACCTAATCTGCATTAGATGGGGAATGAACCACATAGAATCATAGAATCACTTTGGTTGGAAAAGACCTTTAAGATCATCGAGTCCAACCCTTAACCTAACCCTGCCATCCCACCACTAAACCATGTCCCTAAGCACCTCATCTATCCTTCTTTTAAATACCTCCAAGGATGGGGACTCTACCACCTCCCTGGGCAGCCCATTCCAGAGCCTGACAACCCTTTCAGTGAAGAAGTTTTTCCTAATATCTAACCTAAACCTGCCCTGGCGCAGCTTCAAACCATTCCCCCTCATCCTATCATCTGTTACCAGGGAGAAGAGGCCGACCCCCACCTCCCTACAGCCTCCTTTCAGGTAGCTGTAGAGGGCGATCAGGTCTCCCCTCAGCCTCCTCTTCTCCAGACTAAACAACCCCAGTTCCCTCAGCCGTTCCTCGTATGACTTGTGCTCCAGACCCCTCACCAGCTTGGTTGCTCTCCTCTGGACATGCTCCAGCAATGCAACATCCTTCTTGTAGTGAGGGGCCCAAAACTGAACACAGTATTCGAGGTGCGGCCTCACCAGCACCGAGTACAGGGGCACGATGACTTCCCTTGTCCTGCTGGTCACACTATTCCTGATACAGGCCAGGATGCCATTGGCCTTCTTGGCCACCTGGGCACACTGCTGGCTCATATTCAGCCGGCTGTCAACCAGTACCCCCAGGTCCTTTTCCGCCAGGCAGCTTTCCAGCCACTCTTCCCCAAGCCTGTAGCGCTGCATGGGGTTGTTGTGACCAAAGTGCAGGACCCGGCACTTGGCCTTGTTGAACCTCATGCAGTTGGCCTCGGCCCATCGATCCAGCCTGTCCAGGTCTCTCTGCAGAGCCCTCCTCCCTTCAAGCAGATCAACACTACCACCCAGTTTGGTGTCGTCTGCAAATTTGCTGAGGGCACACTCAATCCCCTCACCCAGGTCATTGATAAAGATATTAAACAAGACTGGCCCTAGAACGAGCTCCAGTGCTGCGAGCACTGATTTGTTTCAAAGCCTTCCCTGTCTGCAGTTATTTTATAAGTTGGTTATAGCTTGTCCCATGATGTATTTTATTTGACTGCTCTTTAACGCAGGATGAAGATAGTAAAAGAGAGGGCCCTGCCAGATATTGAAAACTATATGTTTGAGAATCATGACCAGCTTCGACAGGCAGCCACAGAGTGCATGTGCAACCTGGTGGTCAACAAGGAGGTAACTCACTGGGCATCTCAGACTTGACTGCGTGCACCAGTTCATGAGCCACTGCGATGAGGCGTTCCTAAATGTGTTATCTCTGGATATCATGGCTGAAGTTGGTGGTGTTACTGTGTGGTGAGGATGATGAGAAAGTCCAGGTTGCAGCAGCAGGGGCCCTGGCCATGCTTACAGCAGCACAAAAGAAACTCTGCTCTAAGATGACCGAAGTGGTAAGACCAGAAGTTTGCTTATGGGCAGTGTAGAGATCCCCTTGAAGGGGCCTGGCTCAGGCATAAAAATGCCTCTCAAAAGGAAGACGGAGTCCACCAGTTTGATAGTGAGGAACTTTGTGGTGAAGCTGAAACCTGGGTGTGCATGTTCCTAGTCCATCCCTGCCCAAAGTAAACCAGCCTGCCTTACACTAGACTTCATCTCAGAGCCAAAACATTTTTATATAGCCATTCCTCAAGCTAAGTCCAGAATGCTAACTGTCAAGCAAGGTTAGGAGTGCAGAATATTATTCTATAGGCCCTTAAAGCTTTTGATAACCTGAAATCCAAACCTTGTTTCAGTCAGAAATGAGAAGATCTTGATGGATAATGTATAACCTATTGAGCTTTACAGGTCCCAAAACATCTCCATTCCCTGCACAGAACTGTAGGTGCCAAGAACTCAGACCCTGCATAGCTGAATATCTGTGCAGAGCTGTGAGCTCATGAACCCTGTTGTGTTGCACACACACTGATGTTGGATACTGGGGCTTGTTAGGATAAAAATAATTAGTCAAGCCAAAGGAGGGGCTCAGTGCAGGGGGTGGGTGGTCTGCTTCTGGTCATCTCAGCTGTGTCAATCGGATTCTTTGCACAGGGATTATGCAGCAGCCTAAACATGAAACGTGTTTCATGTGGCGCTAGTGCCATGAAAGCTTCTGACTTTTTAAGTGTAATAACAATTGGGTTTTAAACCCTGAAGCCAGGTTTCCTTAGCTAAACAATCAAATAACCCTACCTGATATGAGCATGAAGAGGTAAGTCCCTCGGTTCCTTCTGAGAAATGCCTGGCCAAACTCGCGTTCTTGGCTGAGGTATTCTTTAGATTGATACTAATGATCTCTGTCTCCCTTGAAGACCACCCAGTGGCTTGAAATCCTGCAGAGGCTCTGCTTGCATGATACTATGGAAGTGCAGCACCGAGGACTGGTGGTTGCTTTCAACTTAATCAGTGCTGACAAAGAGCTAGCGAAGAAGCTGGTGGAGTCAGAGCTCCTAGAGATCTTGACCTACATCGGTAAGCAAGAAGATGACCCCAAGAAGCAGCACATCATTAATGTAGCACGTGATTGCCTCACAAGGTGCATGGATTATGGGCTGATCAAACCTCTCTCTCAGGCATGAGGAAATGAAAAGCACCAAAAAAGGCTGAATGTGGGGTAAAAGAGCTAATGAGAAATGTGGAAAAGTGAGAGCCATGAGGAAAATCTAGTGCCACTGTCAAGGCATGGAATAGTTTGGGGGACACCTTTTGGAGGACCAGAAACTATGAGGAAAAGGGGGACATTTGCCTGGGAAATTTGGGAAGTGTCCATCTGAGTAATTCCCAGATGGTGTAAATTGTTTCTTTGCCCCCATTCAGCTGATAAGGATGAAAGCTTTAAGGCCCAGCTGTAAAAAAGTTGGTTGTGTTGGAAATGTGCCAGGGGGTGGTTGGAAGGAACTTCAGCTGAGCTGAAACCTGTTCTGCAACCATCTACAGCCCCTGGTATTTCTGGAAATTCTAGTGGTGGTGGAACAGGAAGCATTGAACGTGTTCTATTCCCTAGTCAGAAAATAGGCTGGGTTTTATCTGTATGCTTTTTTGTTCATTTATGGTATGTTTAAACAGGCTTAAGTGGTGTGCCAAAGTGTGAGGATGGTGGATGAACTCTTAATAAACTCTATGTTCTATGTGGAGTTCCTGTTCTGCTTTTAATTAAGCAAATGGAAAAATCTAAGGCAACTCTCACTTGCAGCCCTGCATCATACCCAGGAAGCTGGAGTAATTGGTAGCACAGGCTGAATTTTCACCACTTGCAAACTATCTGGTGCTGCTTGAATGAGCATGTGAAGTCGCTGTCCGAGGAGGTGGCACTAACGGGTTAAGCTGAGGTTCACACCAGGGCCCAGTGTTTGGTTCAAGAGGGAACGTTGAAAAGATCTCATCTATAGAAGAAGCGGAATAAGAAGCAAACACACCAGTTAGTCATCACATTAATCTTTATTACATAAATCTTTACATTCAAGCACAGATTCTTTATGCACGCTATGGACTACACAGAAAAATCAGACCCTTGCTTTAGACCCCTTGGGGTGGGGGGGAGGGAGAAAAATCTATCTAAGCAATATAGTAAATATGATCTTGCTTGGCAATGATTTAAGCATAAATTCAAGTGCGTTAAAATACTTCTGATGCTAGTAAATGTCAGCGATCCTCACATGATAGGCATGGCATGATTAAGTGTGGAGGTTTGGGGGTTATGAAAGGAACCATGGGGATAGTCTTTCCTTGTATGTTGATTAAGAAAAAAAAAATAATGCAAAGTGCCTCTCGCTGCCTGAAATTAGAAAAGTAAGAATTTTGAAGGTAAAAGGCAAATTTATTTGGAGGGTGATTCCAGCTGTGTACAACATCATCTCCTCCTGGTAACCACATTCACTCAAATCACTGGTGCTTTACAATCGTACTAGGACATCAGACTGTGCTTCCAAATCAACTGAACCACAGATCATTCTGTGATGGAAGACAATATGGTTTGTTTTCAACCAGCCTTCAGTTTTGGATACCCAGATTTAGATACCAATTTTAGGAATTTTGGATCTGTCTTTCCGAAGTACTTTGCATCCGGCTCTATACAGAAAGTTTTATCTAGCCAGCATGTCTGAAACCAAGACACAAAATGCCATTGGTATCTGCAGGCGGTTAGGCGAAGTTTCCTTCTCCAGCTAAAGCTCCTCTTCGGAACAATTCGGTTCTTCTAACCCATACTGACTCTTGCTGAAATTGAGTGGGGAAACTAATTCTGTAAAAGCCATTTATTTCTATTTCTTAGCTAAAAAATGGACAGAAGGCCTCATTTTTACTTTCCTAAATATCAGAATGGAGGTTGTCTTTTTAAAAATGGCTTCTAACGCTGGATGCCAGTGCTGTTTGGTAACTTCTCTGAGTACTACTGTGAGTATGAGTGAGCTGGTAAAAGCCAGAACATCTTCTGATTTCCTGTCTTGGCATGGAGACTTCAACTCTTTCACCTGGCAATGCACTTACAAGCAGTCAAAGGCTGAGCGTCGGGTTTTGCAAGTGCTTGAAAGGAGCCTTTGGGAAATGATGGAATTCTACTGATATTCGAACCATCTATCTCTTTTTCTCTGCATTATTGAAACCTTACATTTGATTTAAAACAGACTGTAGAGGCTTCCCAAGAACATCTGGGCTTTTAGAGAGAATCAGCCGTTACAAAGGAAATCCTTCTACTTCAGATCTAGAGTAAAAAAAATTCCAACATACATACCCATTGACCTGTCAGGGCCTTGCTGGGATCCTATGTGGTCACCTGTTCTGAGTTATGAAATAACAAGTGTAGATTTAAATTAGCTCTGGATGCTACACAGACCAATATATTTCCTAATATTTCATCCTGAAAGTGAAAGGATTGAGGAATAATACCAAACACAATGCTTCTTTCTAAGCCAGAGAAACGACGGATACTGTCAAGAGTAGCATGTTCCTGTGGTCCTCCCTCCATTCTTCTTAATGATATATTTGACTTTGACTTCTTCATTTCCAACTCCAGTATTCCAGAGTATGCTTTCACTTCTTCTTCAGTGTAGCACAGAACAGCAATATCTTTCTCAGAGTGACCCCTTTTAAGATATCTATGACAATGTTTTGCCACGTACATTGCTATTCTGTTTCTGTCTAGGTTTTGTTTTATTTTCACACAGCCTTGCACAACCTGAGCACACCTGGCTCTGCATAGTAGGTTTTTCAAACGTTGCGTGGGAATATTTAGGGTAGAGTACTTCACAATCTCTTCCATCTTTTCTTTTAGATAGCTATAGATACTGCTAGCGTTACGAACCACTTTGGTTAGTGACTCGACAGGATCGTGCCTTCTGGCTCCTGGAAGACCAGTTGGGAATCTGTGACTTGTCTGTAAGTAGTCCAAGAAAATCCAGAAAAAGCCAGGCTCAGGAAGCTCTGGTGATGAAGTTAGTGTCAAGGCTTTGTAATACCAATCACCTTCCCCAGCTTGGAAATTCTGTGCTTCATCAATTATGATGTGCTTCACATAATTAAATCTTTCCTTCAAAAAGGCTACTCTTGTCACAGCTCGGCAAAGGTTTTTCTGCCTACAGAAGAGATACAAGTAGATTAAAAACAATCACTGCATTGCAAACTACTGGTTATACTTGATCAGAACGAAGTGAATGCCCATGATATTGAAGTCATATTTATTCGTAGATGCTCAGAGAGAAAAGAATTTGAGCTTTACTAAAACCGCCTCCCAGCTACATACTTCAAACACTGCAATGGTGGTGGACCAAATAGCATATCAAATGTACTAATCACTACTCAGCTATTTAAAAATGCTGGTCAAAGAACAGAATGTTGAAATAAATGAATAACTGGAGAAAATACTTACTGCACAAAATCTCTTAGAGGCTGGTTCTCGCATACATAAAGAATTTCCTGCTCCCTGCACTGCAGCATAAGTTTTATTTTCTCTATGATCTTCAGGGCCACTACAGTTTTCCCTGTTCCTGGTAGCCCATAAATGTACAGCTTCTTAGTTTTGTGAAGATTTTCTGACAGCAGCTGGTATTGTTTGAAGGTCAAGACGTTCAAAAATTCAGAACCAACATGGTCACTTAAAAAGGACTTGAAAGTCAGCAGAGCTACTGTGAGAGCACGCAAGAGGGCCTTCAGGTTGTCACTGTTGATTACACTGTAATTTGGGGGATACATTTCTTGAATATTCAGATCCCCTTCTTTTCCACAGTTAATTTTGGACGGCAAAGTCAGTAGCTTTGGTATTACACACAATTTGTGAATATAGCCCCCAGTGTTGACTAATTTCTCCTTCAGCCTCAAGGCTATGAGTCTTGAGTATTCAAACAAATCCTCTGAGATATGATTCTTACAGATTGTATAAAGGATAGGCGGCCTACCCTTGGCTATTAGGAGAACATCACAAATTATGTCTTGGTTTTCTGGCAAGCCGACCTCAACAGCCCAGCTTCTGGAAAATATCAGAACTCCCTCAGACAGCTGCTTCAATTGATTTTTCATTAAAATATCTAACCCTGGATGTTCTTGGAAGAGATCTTCACTGAGATTTTCTGGAGTATATGTTATGCTGTGGGATCCCACTAACAAGGCAAAGCAGAAGAAATGGTTAGTGTTAGTATAAGATAAGCAAGTCCAGTCCTCTGAAATTATTCTGTGGGAACTGATATTGGTGAAGGCTACAAATATAGACCATAGCTGCCTGAAATACCTTTTTTGCTTCTCCAAAATTTTCCTTAACCACTCCATGTGTTTCCAGATTCTTTTGCAAAGACTACTTCCTCAGGGAACTCAATCCTCGCCTCCTACCCAGATCTCTCCCTTTGCTAAAAATGCCAACACAGGACCAGCTGTTGCTAACCTCATTTAGGAGAGCTGGCAAGAAACAGTAACGGCTCAGTACAAAAGCACCCAGAGACCTGCCTGATCTTGCAATGCCACAGAAACATTGGACTGCAACTGGCAGCAGACTCTCCACTCTGGTCCCAGCCCCCATCACAGGCTCAGTATTTACACTGGGCTGATTCCAGGTGACCTTCTCCTCCCATCTTTCCCATTTTTCGCTGGACTGCGAAAAGACATTGGCATGGCTGTGCTCAGTTCCCAGAGAAGTTCAGCTAGCTGAGCTCCTTCATGTCAATAGCTAGCAGAAAATCAGCCCTTGGGGAAGGGGGGTCATCAGGCATTTGAATGCAGTGTTGCTGTCAGATCTGCAAATTATTTCCATGTCCTTCACTTGTTTAAAGAATGTCTTCAAACTCATCTGTGACCTTCACCATACCCTTGAGATTCATGTTGTAAACCTACCAGACTGTGAAAGCAACGTGCAGACCTACCTGGAAACAGTTGCTTGCAAAGGTCATCAACACTGTCAAGGCCCTGGTGTGAATAAACTGGCTTGGCAAGAGGTGGCCCCTCTGTCAGACTGAGCTCTTGACTAAAGGTCTCAGAAAACTTTGAAAGGTCTGTGAAAGAAAAAATAAAAACATGTATACAGCATGAGCACTTACCGTCCCTCTGTGCAAGAGCCACAAGCTGTCCTCATGCTGGTTTTAAATCTTTTTTTTTTTTTTAAATAATAAATGCAATGCATAGACAGAAACCTTGCAACTCACATGGATAGCAGCTGATTAGCAACAGAATGGGCTCAGGTCATGGACCATGGAGCTGCTCTTGGTTTCCTTATCTCATTAGCTGCTGTTGTGACCTCTAACTCTGTTAGTGATACCCCTTCCTTTCACTGCCCAAGAGTTGGCCAATGAACAATTTATCTGTCCATAGCTCTCAGCTTATTAGGCTGGCAGCAGCAGTGTAGAATGCCCCTAAAAAGCAGGAGGGAAAGTATAGTTAAGCCTGAAAGCAAATGGTAATTTGCAAATGGCAATTACCATGGACTATGGCAATTATGTAAAAAACCACATGCACTGGGGTCTAAGCTCAAAAGCAGTCAACCTGAGGCATGGAGAGCTCATGCTGCAAAAGCAGGCCCTAACATTGGCATTAAAAAGCTGCTAGTCACCTGCTGCAGCCTGAAGCAAGCATTAAAGGAACATAAGCAGCAGAAAGACAGGTATTTAGCAAGGACCTGAAGCAGTCAAACAACACTCATATGATTCTATGAACACTGCCAGGACAGGAGCAAGAAAATAAAAGGAAATATTAAAAATGGAAAGGGATTGTCCTAGCTCTTTTGGACCTGGATCAGCAGCGGTCATCCATTCAGCCCACTTGTTCACGCTCAGTCTGCTGATGGTGCTGCCTTCCACCAGCCACGACTCTGGGTCTTCAGGAAACACGACGCACGTAAATGGCTGAATCTTCAGAGCACAGACGTAGCCACAGTGATCTCCAGACTTGTGGTATACTTTGAAGATTTTGTGTTCATACCTTATGTTGTGTATACTTCCACTCCCACAGAAATGGAAGAGGGTTAATTTGTTTTGAACGGAATTGATTAAGAGACTTAATTTTTCAAGGTCCTCATCATCGCTGCTGAATCCCTGCACTCTGCTGTCATCATCCACACCAATCCATAAATACCCACCGCCTGTGTTTGCAAATCCAGCGATATACTGAGGTAATATCTCTCTGACACGAGTCAAAAATTTTTCAGTTGAATAGTGCTTAAATTCCACCTCTGCTGACTCTGTGAAAGGGAGTATCTCTCCATGTTGCAGCTGGTCCCTATTAAACAACTCAGCAACAGCATTATTTATAATATTCATGTCTCCTTCAATAGCCCTTGTCCTCCTGGCTTCACCTTGCTTTTCTTTAAGGAACACAAGAGCTTCAGAAGGGCCCATGTAGGAAAGTGCCGCGCCACTTTTTGCATACAACCCAGTATTCAGGCTACAGATTCGTGGCTTTACACTTGTAGAGGTTGTGTTTTCACTGCTCCAGGTTTTCACAAAAATCAAAAGGTAGTTACCTCGCTGTTCAAAGTCCAGGTATTTTCTCCAGTCTGGAAATAAAAGAAGAGACCGAAAAGTCCCTTCGAAATCTAGGCCGATCTTATCTCTCTCCAAGTTGTAGTTTTCATTTTCAATTTCTGCCATTATGACACCTCCTCCAGAGTTCAGCAAAGCACACGTTGCGTAGGCAAGGTTGTATTTTTGATCTTGTTTTGAATTTTTTGGTATCTTTTTTCTTGCTTTGTCACCAAAATGTGTTTTTCCAACACACAAAACTACTTCAGGATACTTTGTTGCTAAATTAACCCAGACCTTCTGCTGTGGTTGATTGCCTTCAAGAGCCATTCTGGGCCTGAAACAATTGTAAAAAAATTGCTTACCATTTGTGCTGAAACATCAATCTTCCAAAGACTTCCCCAAAACATTAGTTAAACAGTGCCCATCCTTCGAACAATTAATACACTGAGTCACAGACATGAGAGCAAAAGGAATTTTCCTCCACTTCCAAAATAGAGCACTTGCTTCAAACTTAAGATTGTCCCCCAGTGCCCAGGTGTTTATTTTTCTGTCCTTGAGCATGAGGTGACATAGGGACCTTGCTGCCATCTGTCCCTTTGAACACAGAAGCAGCCTCAAATAGCTTCTCTACAGCCAGGCTCATTACTCCCTTCAACACCACCCCCTTACATATTCCTGGACTGTATGGCTGTCCTGGTTTCGGCTAGGATAGAGTTAATTTTCTTCACAGTGGCTTGCATAGTGCTGTGTGATTTGGTACTAGAAGAATGTTGATAACACACTGATGTTTTTTGATAAGTAGTGCTTAGACTAGTTAAGGACTTTTTCAGCTTCCCCTGCTCTGCCAGGGGCACAAGAAGCTGGGAGGAGGCACAGCCAGGACAGCTGACCCCAACTGGCCCACAAGGGCTATTCCAGACCATATAACGTCATGCTTGGGGGGAGTTAGTCAGGGGAGAGGGATTGCTGCTCCGGGTGGGCTGGGCATCAGTCAGCGAGTGGTGAGCAATTGCATTGTGCATCACTTGTTTTGTATATTCTATTACCATTATTATTATTATTATTATTATTATTATTATTCTTTTCTCTTACTAAACTGTCTTTATCTCAACCCATGGGTTTTACTTTTTTTTTTCCTGATTCTCTCCCTAATCCCACTGAGGGTGGGGGGGAATGAGTAAGTGGCTATGTGGGGTTAAACCACGACAACGGCTGCCTCTTCTCCCCTGTAATCACCCAGAAAAGGCTGTGCTAAGCCTCACCTTGATCTTAAGAATCCAGTAATCTTACCAATTAATAATCAATAAATAATAACAACTGACCCTTCTACTTCCAGCTCTGTTTGGCCACCCTTGCTAGTAAGGCAGCTGAATCTTGGCTGATTGCCACTTGGTACTCGGACTGTAGGCAAATTTGTTGAAATAGTGGCAAACTGCATCTGCATCCCATTTAAGCCAATTCCTTAAAATGAAATCCAGCCCCCTTGCTACAAAACACATCTGTGGTACAAAAGCACTAGGAAATAAATGAAAGTGTGCCTAGAAGAGATCTAGCCTGTGACAGGAGGGCAGCTTATTTCTGGTAGCACAGATTTGCCTTCTGCATAGCCAAATATTAAGCCAGAGAGCTGCAGGGCACAAAAATTGCAGTGAGCATCTCCTTCAGACCTGATACAGGAGGCCTTGTCTGCCTCTCCTGAGTTAGCTCTGCTGAGGAACACCACTCTGCTCCTCATAGCTCTGTGTTATGGTTCAACTAAAGCAGCAAGAGTGTTAATGTGGGATAATTTTTGCTACCAGGTAGAGGAATTTCCCCATCCAGTTCCATGATCCCCCCTCTAGCTTGCTGCAACAGGACAGCCTGGCTGACAGCTGGGATCTCGGACTCGCCTGGTACAACAGACCAAAGGACTTACCCCAGCTCTTTTTCTTAGTTCTGGGCTAAAACATCAGTATTTGAAGTATCAATTTTGAATCCTTAAATATTTAAGTCAGAGCATGATGCGCAGCAGAAATGGGGTACAACATATCCGGAGCATGTTAACTTGTTTTCTTCCCTGCCCCCTCCCTCTGTTAAAATGTAAGAGAACGAAACTTACTTTGTTGCTGGTTTCACTTCTCTGCTAGCTTTTTTTTTTTCTTCCCCTCTGTCAACAGACTTCACTGGACCTTTATAGCTCTACTGGAAGTTCAAAACTAGTTTCTATTGGAAGCCCAGCTCTCCAGAGCTTACATCCCTCCCCCTGGCACTTTTCCAGTGGCAAAACCTATGAGAGGAAATGAAGAAAAAGAATTTAGAAGAAATCCCCAATTTACCGAATATACATGCGTTATTGTTTGTTCAGTCTGAAAAGCTGGTGTTCCATTAAACTTTTAGAACCTCAGAGTCAGAGATACAGTTCTGGAAGCTGGGAAGCAGGACAGCAAGCTAGAAAGTCCTGTGCAGAAGATACAGTCTGTGTATCTTGATTTGCAACATTTGCAATAGGCGAATCAATTTTCTTACCTTTTTGTACTGAAAAAGCACACTAATACTGTCATTTTATACTGAAATCATGCCCATATACTTTCAGCTGAAATAATTAAAGTTATGGGTTAACACTGCCTCACAACTTTTCCCTGTGAAAGTGATCCACACAGGGGGCCACTTTGGAGTATCCTCAGTGCCTGGGCAAAATTCCAGCAAAGGCACAGAGATTGGGGCAATAGGGGGAGGACTGAGAACAGGGAAGGTTGGGGGCTTGACTGCAAAGCCTTGAGAAGCCTCATACAGCAGTGGCTGAGTGTGCCCTGGGTATCAGCTCAACAAAGTTGGGTATTTTTTTGAGGGGAGATGAGAGAAAATTAAATAGTGTGGGAAAAGAGCAAGCTAGCGCTCAACTGTGGAAACTTGCTTGCATAAAAGGGAGGAAATAGAAACATTCTGTTTGTGGGCAGCATTACAGCTTCATGTGCAAAGTAAAAATGCTTTTTAGCATTTGATCCCATATTGTGTAAAAGAGAGTCTCCTGCTCAACCCCCTTGGCAGGAGCTGGTGTAATACCCCCCTTTCCTTGCTCTGCCCCTTGTCTTCTCCTTTCTCTTCATCCCCCTCCAGGCTCCATTCTGGTGTCCCGGGCTTCTTTTCATTTATGACAAAGCAGAATTGAATTTTTCATGGCGCCCACCACCAGTTACAGAAAACTTCCCCACTTCCCCTCTGTGGGCTGTGCAGAGTCAGAATGAAACCTGCAGGTGCATGGAGGGGGTTAAAAAGCTTTTCTTTCTTGAACTTTTTGAGTCTCCTTACATGCTTACTATGTCACAGGGCTGTCTTTGCCCCTCAGATTGGATCCCCCTCTTCATCCCGCACAGAAAGGCCCCCGGCAGGGTCAGACACCCCAGGAAAACCAACCTGAAATACATCTCCCCCACAGCCACGCGTGTTAGGCAAGAATTTCTTGCAAACTGCTGCCCATCAGGACGAACCAAGTTACTGCTTTAAAACAACATGAAGAATTTACTTTTCTGGCCTTAAGCAGGTGTTTTATTTTAATTTCTATATTAGATCATGGTATTTCCTTTGCAAAGCACCTTCTGTTCAATTATTGGAATATTTTTATTTCTTCCACTTCTGTTTGATTTTTCCCCTCTTTTTTCCTCCTAGTTATTTTGAAGGGAGGCTAAAGGGTTAACAAAAGGACCTTTGTGAAGCCAACTGCAGATCCATCTTAAATTGCTAGCATTGTGTTTTAGATTAACTTACTAATCATGTGAAGTAAACTATAGATAAGAAACTAACACTGTAGGGAATGTGGAAAAGGGGAGATTAGTAGCAAATGGCCCATCTTTGTTACAGGCTTTGGAAGGCCTGTAGGAGAACAAAGTGTCTACTGGCTGTGTAGTTCTGACAGTGGAATAAGGGGGGTGGAAGCTGGAGTTCACCAAAAGGACAAGGTGAAGAAGAGGAGTGGATGAAGTAAACGACCCCTGAAGACCACCGACTCAAATCACTGAGCATGCGCAGTTGGGAGGGACTTATGGAAATGACCTCTTGAAACTAATTTTAATACGAAGCGGGGACAGGTTATGCCTATGTATAGGCGTATTGGGAAACTTCAAGTATATGTAACACTTTGCTACGTATAAACAGGACAAGCTGCCGCGTTGCGGTGCGCACGACTTTGGTGGGACTACCCCCCGTGCCGCCCAGCGCTGAATAAACATACCTACTGTACAATCTTACAGATTGTGGAGTCTGTTTTCCGCACGCCAATTTTCACGGTGATACCACACTCATCACGCTGCCCCTTGTCGTGGAGCCGTTACTACACAACATGCGTCCGGGAGAGCCGGGGTCTTAGGACCAGACAGCGCTTGAGGCAGTATCTTTTCACCGCCTTCTGCCTCAGCTCAGCAAGCCGTGTGGCTGAGGAAACGAAAGTCAGAAAGCGAAACGGCTCCGGCGGAGGCTGTCACATGGGGACCGCAGGGGAGGTCCGGGCTTTCCCGCCCCCTCAGACATCCTCAGAGCGGGAACGGCTCGCGCCACGCGAACTCCACTAACGCACCGTCCTATTGGCTCCCACCCGGCCTCCCCGGCAGTACCGCGCACTACCATTGGCTGTTGGCCACCGGGGGTGGGACAAAGGCGGGCATCTCGACCTCGGTGTGGCTGGGCTTGCGTGAGCGCGAGTGCGGTGGCCTGAGGGTGGGGGAGCCCTGGGGTGCCTGGGTGTCAAGGAGGGTACAAGGGTAGGGTAGCTGAGGGCTCAGGGTGTGGGGGGCCGGGGCTAAAGGGGTGCGGAGGCTGAGGGGGGTGAACCCGACCGAGGTAGGGCATCCGGGGCTGAGGGGGGCGATGAGCAAAGCGGGGGGAGGATATTTGTGGGCTAGGGGGATGCAGGGGGCTGAGCAGGGCAGGGGCTGAGGGAGATTGGGTGGATAGGGGCGGAGTATCTGGGGACTGAAGAGCTGCAAGGGGCTCGGGGGAGGAATGCAGGGAGGGAGATGGGAAGTAGGGTGCAAATGGGTGATATGAGGGAAGGGCTAGATCAAAACATGTCTCTGGACCCAAGGAGAGCCACTGACTTAACAAACATTTAAGGTATACCAGTTTTTTCTCTTTTTTTTTGCCTGGTACTGGCTCTCCTTGACCTTGGAATCCCAACTCATGACCTATCTTCCCTCACTCCAGCTTGGTTGTATCGGACATGTCACCCTCCTCCCTTCCTTTGCTCCCCTGCTAAATGTGCTTCATCCCCTTGTTATCTGTAACAGTAGGGGATGATATGGAAAAAACCCAAACCCATAATTCACAGATGAGTATAAAACTTAATTTGGCTCCTTTTATCTGTTGCATGCTTGCAGATCAGCCAAAGCTTTAATTAATACCTATTTGGAGTCTCTTCTGCCCTGTGGGGTGGCAGTAAAGGGGACCAATGTGTATAGGTGTGTCAGGAGGAAGAAGAGGGGTTTTGCTGGCTTAGCTAATGGTGTTTGGGAAGGGAAATGGAAAGCTTTTGCCTGTGTTTCTCTACCAATGTGGCTTTGTCATGCACACAACTGAACAAACAAGCTCTCTTTGAAGAGAATGTGTCTGTACTGATGGTGCAAAGTACCTCCTCTTCCGTGCTGCTGTGTGACAGAGGTGGGTAAAGGAAGGTAGAAATAGCAACTTGGGACTCAGTTTTTCAGGCTTCTAATAGCCACTCCTGTCCCGCCTCCCAGGGGTCACTGTTAACACATTGCAAACTGTCATGTAGAAAGCTATGTGATCCTGAAAAGAATTAACGTGGAACCCAAGTTAATCTGTGTGTGTTGGGGGTGAGGAGGTGTGTGTTTGTTTGCTTTTTCCTCTAAAAAAAACACCCAAACCCTTTTCTGTTCTAGTTCCTGACTTGGGAGCGAGCTCCTTATTGAATGGAAATACATTTGCCCAAAGCAATGATGAGCGAAGTATACTCTGAACTGGTATTGCTGAGACTTTGTGTCTTTGCTCTGACCAGGGCATGATCATGTAATCTTCTCTCTGAGCGTATTTAGGCTAAGCTCATCTAGATTAAAAGGCTTTGCTGCTTCTTGAAACTTTCTGATGCACCCTAAAATATATTGGAAAAAATATTAAGACTTTAGCAGTTTCTTGTACTGCCAGAAAAACAAAACTCTGATTTGAAAAGTGAGTAGTGCAAATACTTGTTTGGATTTGTGTATCTTGCTGCAACACTACGTTTAGTACTGAGCCTGAAAGGGGCTTCTTGTTTCTTCTTCTATGTGTGACGTGGCTTACAAAACTCCAGATACCCTGGTGCTGTATCTTCTCAGTCTGTGAATGCAATGCAGGCTCCATAAAATGGAGTTTGAGCTGTCTGCCCTGTAGCCACCTCATTAGCAGTTGGTTCAGCTGTGTTATCATCGAGTGATTGCCAGCACTGAGACAGGAGTATTTTTGGAAGCAAGTTGTGGTGCTGGGTCTGGCTCTGGTGCTCTGCTCTGGATCTGCAGACCTCCCGGGGCTGTGGGGGGAAAAGGCTGGGCTAATCAAGCAAGTACAGGAAAAGATACGGAGCTGTTCTCTAATCTAGTTCTTATTCTCTTCCAGGTCTCGGTGACAGCTTGACATTCATTTCTCAATTTCTGTGGAGAAGGAAGCTTCTGTGGGGAATATAGGAGTATAGTTACGGTGATTTTTCTCTTAACAGAAGCCACGTGGTTTCTGTTAAGGAAGTAGGG